TGGATGCTTGTAATATTATAGTCTTTCTTTGATCACGTTCTCATATCATTTTTTGGAAAGTCATAGTAGAAAAGAGAGGAGAGAGGCAAAACCAGTGACAGAAATTAGACACCTAATTTCTGAATCATCCACCCCCCGACCCCCGTAGTTTGGTTTCATTATGTTGACATACAATGACTCCTTAGAAGACCAGATACAGGCTTCCTCATTAAGCACCTCAACTCAAAGTCACATTAAGTAATCCTTTGATTGGGACCTGTTGTACACTGTGTGCAGCTCTGATTTCCCCTTCAATGGAATGGGTAATTGAGAACTGACTAGATAAATAAGAAGCAGCATTAAAAGCTAATTTCATTCTTGGAACATACACTACAATTATGGGCTATGATAATAGATTACCATAAAACAATTACTGAATATCACAGCACATTTGGAACCAGCTCTTTCTGAAATATATGGTATTCCATTTAATAACGAAGGAGAAAAAAATGTGAATTTTATTATTTAAGCAGAAAATTAGCTGAATGAAAGTATTTTTAACTCCAGAAATATTAAAACCTTTACATATCATAGGAATACTAGAATAACTATTGGGTACAATGTTGTCGAACATTTCCTTTTAAAATTTATAACATATATTTTCAATTTCCACTTTGCCCTCCATATGAAAGGGAAAATTCTGCTCAAAGTAAACAAAAAGCATAAATGGACATATTTCTAGATTTTTAATTCTTAGTAAAGTGGAATGAGTTGAAATCTAAAAGTAATATCCAAACAAATATGAATTTATCACCACTGTCAAGAAAATATTCTTAATATTTCAATGAATTAGGTCATTCTTCACATGTCACGTAAATCATATGTCAGAAATGGTATGGGGCTTTGGGAAAACAGTAATTAAGAGGAAAAACACTTTGAGAGGACTGAGTTCACATTTCTATGTCTACACAGAAGCACCTTTCAACTATAGCTTTGCCCATGTATCTGTCCTGTGTATTTCCGGGTATAAATTTCATGTATCTACTTGACTTAATAGCTTTAGGGAACTAAAGCCCTTTGATGATGTTTGATGTAAAATAAATGGCCAGAAGAGAGAGAGAGGCGTGTCTGGGAATACAAGAAATGATGATCATAAAACATTGCAAATATCATCCAAAAAAATGTTGCTATTATAAACAACTAATGCTCACACCTCAGCAAGCACTCAGTTTTAGTAAGGTTGAGGTTTGATGGCATAAGAACTTTGATAGAATAAAAGGATCAAGAAAAAAAGAGAAGAGAAAGATGCATTTTGGCTGCTTTTAATAAAATGATAAAGTAATAATTAAGTGGAATAAATTAAAGGATATTCTTCTATTAATGATATAATAAAGTTTTAACATAGTATATCTTACTGCTAAAATTTTTCAAAATGCTGGTCAAGGAAATGACTAATCTTACTACAGTCAGAGCAATGAATTACACAAAAGGGAAATTTTACAGATGGAAAATAAAAAGGAGCAGAAAAGTAACTCAAAGTTATAACACTTAGATTGCACAAGCAAAACTCTCACCTCACGAATACTAGCTTAATGCTATTGAGTGAGCTTTGACAGTCTACTTCTTAATAAGTCAATAGTTCACATGCATTCACATCTGAATTCCTATTATGAGAAATAAGTGAGCTTGAATATTTTAAAATTTCTGATACAGTTTAGAATGGGTAATGCAAATATTTTGGATTTCTGTAGAATTTTGAGATGACATGAAAGGCTTTAGCATGTCTTATTTTCTGTATCATATGAGCTACACTAGGTGCTCATAGCCTGTTTTATTAGATGAGCATTTTAGCACCAGCCTGCATTTATATCTCATTGTCGAACCAACTACACATGCAGTTCAAACCAAGGCAGGCTTGCAGAAGGATGGCTACATTACTATGATTGTCTAAGTTCGAAAAATCTTTTCCAATCTCAGGTAAGTGGGAGACTAATTCTCTCCATTATATTGTTAATTTTTTTCCCAATCTAGTCTTGAAATGTAAGTACAACATATTCTAATGAATTTATAAAAATAGAACACTGCAACCCTTTTAGCAATAGAATTTTATGAAATTTGTCCAGAAAGAGTATAAAAAATATACTATTGGAAAATGACTTTGCCAGGCCAAATAGGATATTTTTACCTGAGACCTTAGGAAAAGAATGTTTGAACTGGAGGAAGAGCAGATTCATGCATGGCCCACACTTTCATTTTACACATGAGGAAGATGAAACCCACAAACGTCGCTTGCTCAAGTGCCTGAAGGTCCTGAGCCAAGCTTAGAAAAGTAATTTACTGCAAGCAGTACTCCATTAAATTGCAAATTGCTATTGGATTAAATCAAGCAAACAACAATCTATAGTAGCTCTGAAGCAGTTCATAGTTTTAAAATTAATAAATTTTAATAGTCCCACATGAGTCATCTGAAAAGACATGATTTGTGTCTCTGCTTTTCTCAAGCCCTACTGAGATAAACTGATAAGCAATGTCCCACTGAAGAAAGCAGCTTCATGCATGCTTATGTTTCTTAGTGGATCTTATATCTTGGGAAATGAAAAATCCCAGGGAGGGGGGGCACATAGATGGCCCAAGTGAAGAAACAGTTAACTGCAATGCCCCACCTCCTTGTAAATAATCAAGGAAAACCTTGTTTAAAGCAGTACAAAATGTCACCACAGGCTGACGCTCTTTCTTCAAGAATAATGGGATTTTTTGCCACTCCGGGTGCTCAGCACACACTTCGTTGTTTTTATCATCATATTCAGGTCTGTGGTTAAAGTCTCTCCTCCCTCTCCCTTCAAAACAGGTGACAGGCCAGGCCAGAAACACCCCAGTGACTATTGTAGCTACAGGTCAAAAGACCTACAGGATCAATTTTGGCAAGAGTTTCTGTACTCTGGCACCGGGACACATATTGTTAAAGTACCCCGGAAATGAAGGGAGGCAGCCAGGGAAATGAGACCCAAGGATGAGGACAGGCACAGCACCCCCAGCGCTCTGCTTTGCAGAGGGCTCTGCAGGAAGCGCCCTTGCTGTCCTGGATTCTCTCCCAGGAGGCGCTGCACCTTTAGAACCGACATCTTTCCTATGTAGAGCACACTGACACTCCACCGTGAAGTTGCACAGGGTCTAGGCTATCACTCAGGGAAAGAGGAATTCTGAGGGTTTGTGGCTTACAACCGAAGAAGCGGAAGAGTGCCACAGGATGGGATTGGAGAGCCTGCAGTGCCTAAATAATCGCCATCAGAAAGATCTGAAAGCAGAAGCTCTCCCCCTTTGGCAGTTTAGTGTGAAGAAAAACCTGTTTTCCGACGTGGCCAACTGAAAATAAATTCCAGCGTAACCGCATGAAAAGGGAAACTGGTATGTGATGAAGTCCGGGGGTGGAGTGTAGGTGACAGCCTCGTAGCCGCGGGTGAGAGGGTTAAGCTTTGTGGAGCTTCGCATTTAGCAAACTGCATGACGCTCCTGCTCCTGTAACTCTCACCCTGGATCTCAGGGTGTCCTTTCCCCGTCCTACACCGAGATCATGAAAAAGTGAGACTATACTGTGTGGCAGGAACACTGCCCCCCCTCCCCGCCTCACCTGCCAAGTGTTTTCATCCTGCCCCACCTGCCTTAAATCTGGCTCTACTCTGGTCCCCGCCCCAGTCAGATATTGGTCACTGACGCCTTCCCCACGCTCAGAAACAGCAGGTGAGCTCATTACTTCATCTAGAAATGTAACTTTATAAAGAGATCAGGAGAGGGCACCACCCTCACACCAACACCCACACCCACAGCAGGGGTTCTCAAACCCTGGACGCCTTACTTTGCTCTCCTTCCTCGGAGGAATTCTAAGCCCTTGACCCCTCTTCTGTGGCCTCAGTTCGCCATCAACTCGAGAAGTGTACAGAAATAAAAGATGTAAAAAGGAAATGAAGTTGGTTTTCTTTCTTTCTTTTTTTCTTCTTCATTTAAAACCAAGGAAAGGGGAAAAAAGAAGCTAAATAACAGGAAGTATTTGAAAGGCGAACTATCTGAGAAGGGATGGGAAATCAAAACTTCAACGACCCCCAGGTCCAGCAGAGAAAGGAATCCGGCTCAGGCAAGTGACTGGAAACTCAGGGTGTCAGGTTAGATTAACTGGAGTCAGCCGCCTGGAGGAACCAGAGGATGCGAGGACAGGGGGACGACCCTTAGGGTGAAAAAAGGGATTCCCCAAGAGATATTTTGGTTGGTGGGAATTTTGTCTTTTTTTCTTTGAAGACTCAGTGTGGAAGTGAGAACCTCAACTCTATCTCAGTGTGTGGAAACCCAGAAGCCCCCGGCCCAGGGCTCACAAGCCTGGTTGCTAACAGGCCGGTCCACGCTGCGTGACCCGGCTGCCGTCACCCCTACCACCCCCACCCAGACAATGCAGCAGCGATTTCAGCTTTTTTTTTTTTCTTTCTTTTTAAGGAAATGATCAAAGTCCTTCCTTTTTCCCTCATCCCTCCCAAGTCTTCACCTTAGGACCAAGGGGAAGTTACTAGGGGATTTATCACAACAAAGTGCAGTCGGTTATTTCTGCAGATAGCAGAGTGAAAGGAAAACTGCCCTGGGCTGGATGACGTGGACTTTGACACCCAGCGACTGGAAAGACTGTGGAGGACAAGAGCCCGCCGCCTCCCTGGGAGCTGCGGAGGCTGGGGAAGAGAGTTGGGCAAATCTTGCCCGTGGGGCTCCTACAGTCCCTGTCCCGGCCTCACCCAAAGTTCCTGGAGATTTGCTCAGTGCTCTCGCTAGATGCCCGAACTTGAGCAAACCCCTAGAGTCTAAACGCGCGACACAGGTGACCTATCCCAGGGCCAGCTCTGCTCCCGCACGCGGTTTCTGTTCCCTTCCCACACCTAGCACCAGAGCGCACAGCCTCCCGGAGTGCGATGCTTGGGCCCGGGACCCAGCAGACCGGCGCTGACCAGCCACTCTCCCTGCTGCTGTTAGAGACCACGGCTCACCTGGTCTGAGGACCGCGGCGGAGATCAGAAGGCAGAAAACCAGACGACAAGAAGGAGACACTTTCGATGCCATATTCCTTCTCCTCGAGGGCCACCGACAGAGTCCACGCCGCAGGCGGGGGAGTCGTCCCTAACCCCACCGGGCTCGATCGCTCGTGGGTCGCGACACGGGGCAGCGGCTTCTCCCTGACCCTCGGAACCCCGGGGCTGTGGCGCTGCGCCGTCGGGTCTCTGACACACGTAACTTTCCTCCACGCGATGCCCCCCAACGCCTCCTCCCACCCTCTCAACGCCCGCCCTCGGTCCCTTCGGCTGCTCCTCCCTCGACCAGTGACCCCTCGCTTTCTCTCCGGAGACACTTCAGCAATGTGGAAAGGTGTAGGTTGTTCTTTGCGGGCTGCTATCTTTTAGTTTTCTTTTCTTGCAATGAAAATGATCAAAATAAGAAGAGTTGCAACGTGCAGGACAGGCGGGATGCTGGAAAGGAAGGGCCGGGATGCAGCGGCACGGGTGGGGGCAGCGGGTCCCTCAGGTGGCAGCCAAGGCAACGGTGGTGGCGGCGGCAACTGAAGCAGCGGCGGCGGCAGCGGGCTCAGGGCTGCTCTGGAGTGGGGACTGGGAGGCGTGTGTCAGCCGCCTATCTCCTCCTCCCTCCACCTCCTCTCTCCTCCTTCCCTCCCTCCCTCCCTCCCTCCCGCTTCCCCGACGCACCGCAGAGCAGGTGGTTGGAGCGCCGATCCGCAGCCTAGAGGCGCTGCAGGACCGAGTGGAAGAACCAGGCGGATGCTGACTCTGATGGGGGAGTGGGAGGGGAGAGCTGGAACCCACCCCCAACCCAGACCAGAACGCTGGAGTGGGCGGAGCTTCATCGAGACCCCACCTCCCAAGGACACGCCCGCCAATAAGGCGCGGGCTTTGGAGCTTCTGAGCCGGGCGCCGCGGGGTGGGCCCTCGGGACTGGCACATCCCTGGGCTTTGCCTGCGCCCCCTTGACACGGTCTCTGATCATCCACTGCCCACCCGTCCCAGCCAGACTGCGCTCTTCTCACACCCGGATGCCCAGCCCACTGACTCACTCCTTAGGGAATTGGTGCTCCGTTCTGCTGCAGCTTCCGTGTTCAGTAAAGAGAGTAGTTGTGGTATGTCAGTAGGGGCTAAGAGCGCACCTTGGGTCCCAGAGAACCAGGTAGGTGGAAGTGGAAAAGGTGGAAATTGTCCATCTATGAGTTCACCAGAGCAGCCAGGACAGACTTCTTCCTTAAGTTCTGGAATCCACCTTAACCTCCCCACCCCTAGCCCCAGCAGACCATTTGAGTCAACTGACCAGTGCCAAAAAGAGAAAATATGTTTTCTACCCACCTCTCCCAGGGCGCGGGGGTCGGGGATTTAATCAAGACTTTCTAAACACAGCATCGGATTTTCCCAATGTCTAAAAGAGTGTGCGTCACAATTATTTTGAATTAAGCGGCGATTTTAAGTTACAAAACAAAATCCAGAGTTACTCATACTAAAAGCCAACTTCTGATCCTTTCCAGAAAGCCAGGCACCCAGCAGATGAGCAGGCTTCTCAGGTAGTTTCTAAAGATTGAAACACCTCCTAGGAAGTAACATTGGGAAGCCGTGCGGCTTTCAGATCCGGCAGAGAGCATGAAGGAATATTTTCCTCTAGAACACTGGGGTGGAGCTGTTGGAGTCCTAAGTGGCTCTAAATCAGGAATGCGGGATCACAACTCTTATCCCTGCAGCATAATAAAATCCTGGTCCCTGAACCACTTCCGCCGGGTATTAAATAGCCTTTCTACATCACAGGGTCACCCCTGTGTCTCCAGTAGAGGATGCTAACTGGTAATCGTCACACAGGGCTCAGGCTTCAAAAGACTCCGAGCCACCAGCTACAACTGGGGGGTGGGGATGGGGGTGGCCCAGCGTGCAGGCTGGAGCGCGAGCGTGCGCCCGCGCCGCTCGCACGCACGCACACAAGCACAAGCACAAGCACAAACACGCGCCCGAGAGTGCGCAAGCGCACACACAAACGCAGACACAGATCTTTGGATTCTTTCCTCTTCCTGTGCTTGAAACTATTAAGCTTCACCTTCGGCAGCGGCTGCCCCCCCCCCCAAAAAAAAACCTGTCTGTGGAGCCCTTACATTCTAGGGTCCAGCTCTTATATTTTTCCTATTAAAGTAAGCCGTTTTTCCCCACATGGTTTTAACATTTACATTTCATTTGCATCTTATGAATCAACAGGACAGCTAAGAGTTCGGAGGCAAAAGCCTGTTAACTCTGTATTCCTTGCACAAAGCTGAATTGCTAGCGTGCCCATGGGATTCTAGAGGATTCCTGTAGGGAACTGCTTTTCTTCTAACTGCAGCTTTAAGTAGAGTGTATTAGAACAAATCATCCTAACTCTGTTTAGCCCGGATCCTCAGAGTATCTATTTTGAGGAAAAAAAAAAAAAAAAAAAATCATAATCAACTCAGTCTCACTAAGCCTCATTTGCTAAAAGGGATAAGGGATAACAGTTGTTTCAGATTGTTGTGCGTAAATGAGGTCACAGAGGTCACTGGCCAAAAGGAGAAGCTGGGGCTTTGAAGAGTAGACAGAGCCTTGGGAGATCCCTGATTTGCACACAGTGAGTGACCTTGAACAAAAGTTAATCTCTCACAAATCAAACTGTGATGACAGTTTAAAAAGACAGTAAGTCTTTTTTAAAGGTTCATCAAAATGTATCAATTATTGATATTAAAAATTCTGGAAGCAGATGACTATATATA